TGTACAAGTTTCAAAATAGCATACATTAAGTGTGCTAAGAAAACTGGGAGTGGGGAGGGAGCCGGTTTTGGGTATGTGGTGGTGCTGTGAGTCAACTCCAGCTTTTCTCTGCATTGCCACAAACACAGGAGTTGTAGGTGGGTGTGATGGGACAAGCCTGAGCCTGGGACTTAAATGGCTTATGGGAACCTTGTCTTGAAAAAACATCAATAAAGTGACCAAAAAATGATTTTTAAATTTGAGTATGCAGAATTACTCGGTTGCACCCAAAGAAATTGAGAGAGTTATTGTAGACAATTTCTTATTGGCTTGAGGACTCAGATCTGAGGGTCAGAGAAAAGAAGTCTGAACCAGATGGAAGGCAGTTTAACATCCCTCTCTTGTTAATATCTGCAGCCGGTCTCATGTGTAGTCTTGCAGATTGTGCTTGCTAAGTTCTCCTTGCTGAAGTGCTTGTAGGCTTACAGTTAGTTGGAGAGAACTGATGCACAGTTCTGGAGAGATTGTGAGGACCCATTCCATGTGTTTTTCATGCTAAGGACAAATCCATCAAGTTGTTCTTCATCTCCTGCAGCATGCAGTTACTGCACACAGACCCCTTATAACCAAATGCAAGCTCTTAATTGCAAAAAGTAAACAATGTTTTAATTCGAGCAGCTTGGCAGGACTGGAAAGTCCATAAAGTTATGTTCTAGGAATGGTGCAGATTTATTGAGAGAAAGGCTGTTTCTGGTGATAGGGAGATAGTGATCTCAGGGATTACAGTTCTGAAACTGTGCAACTGTTGCATCCCATGAATGGCAAACGAGGCAAGTTTGGAGCATTGGGGGAATGCACTTATTCACTGCTCTTGTCCTGCTCGCTCCACGCAGACAGTCTCTGAGATCAGTGTTTCCAATGGTATCCAAGGGAATGCCAAGCACTAACAAAAACCCACACTTTTATTTGCACTGTTAAACGTTTGCATCTTTAAGGACTTACAGGTGTGTCTGGTGCTCCAAATCCATCCTGTAATTTCAGATGTAATTTTGAGAAGCCAGAGACACACCCTGGTTTGCTCAGTGAAAAGCAGCCCTCTACGATCAGAGAGCTGCACAGTGAGGACCCAGTGACTGGTGGCTGGGAGGTGATTGTCACATTTACCATCCGAGCAGGTTGTGGAAGCTGCTGTCTTCCTCTGCAGAGCGGAGCCCACCAACTTCAGGGCACTGATAGCAGTGAGTCTAGCTTCACTAACTCTGAATTCTCCATACTTGGTCGGGCTGAGCATACCCTCAAGTAGCTTCATGTGCTTTGGATCCAATTTCAGATAGGCTTTGTGAAGGTTGTTTGATGTGTGTAAATGAACTCAGCAAGCAGTTATTTGAATGAGCGCTTTTTAACTTTCCTACCCAGGTTTGGTTTGTTGCAACTAAGTATTATTCGTTTTCTGCTTTTTTCTTGGCTGAAATAAGGTGATTCCTTGTGGGCACAGGCACTCTGACGACCACTGCAGAAATGCCACCTTTGCAACTTGGCTTCTTCCTTGTGCTCAGTGAGTATTGCTGCCTGGGGAAGGGTGTCCTGGAAGCTGTGGTTGGGGTAACCCTCAAAAGGGAAGATTGTACTGAAATACCACCAGATGCTACTTTGGTGGTCGGTTGCAATCCTCAGCCTTTGGTTCACTTGTTTATTACTGAATCCTTGAGCCAAAATATATTAATTTCTGTAATGAACAGAGAGGAAGGACAGAAGTGGAATTAATTTTCCTCCCGTCGTTGCAGAGCTGTCTGCCCATGGCTCCTTCTGATGGAATATGCAGAAGGCACTTATCTACAAAATAGCCTTAGCTGGTTCTGTTTGTATTCCCCTACTTTCTCTCCTCCCGCTCTTTGGTGCTGAGGGATTCCGAAGCAGTCTTTGTTACTTTCCTGAAGTGTCAGCAATTTATTCTCTCTTCCTTGTCAGATTTGGGATCACCTTTGTAATGAGTGTCAGTGATGATAAAACATGGACTTGTAACATTACAGACAAGCTAATGAGATGCCAGCTGGGGAGCAGCTGCATAAACAGACTGTCATTTTCTCTGCTGTGGGTTTGGTTATCAGTATTAAGGAAGGAAAACAAATGAACGGCTTGCTTTTTTTCTTTATTTCATTAATTACACACTTGCTGCTGTTCAAAACTAATCAATGTATTGTGGAAACTGATGAAAATCTGATTTTCCAATTTTATGTTGATATCCTATACAAGGAGTGAAGTTTGTCCAGCAGAATTGTATAGGTTGCTTGGAAGAGTTAATGTCTCTTCATGCAGTGGTGAGATGAGGCATATTTTATCACAGAACAAGGATGGTTGTGATAGTGAGTTGAGCTTCTACTACAGGATCAGAGAGGCCCCCACCTCCCTCCTTTTCCACATGGGTCTCTGAACTCCGCTCTTCCAGTTCAATAGGATTATTTCTATCCTTAAAGATAAATGTGTGTAAGGACGTACCAAGACTGGGGCCAAAGGGCTTGGCTGTGTATTTCCAAGGTCCAAACCTGAGATGAGGAGGAAGTGATTATTATGGATAGAAACAGTCTTGGCTTTGTCTATAAGCAGGGAAGCATGGCCTTTGGCTCCCAATTTGTGGTTGTGGTCCTGGTAACTCTTTCAGGACTTTGTCTAAGAGTAAAGCTGATGTGTGGTAGGGCTAGAGGAAAGCACTCCATTTGGCCAGCTATGGGTATCGTTTCTTTGCCTGTTGGTTAGTGACAGTTCTCCATTAATTAAATGATGAAAAAAGGTGTAGCAGCTAGTAATCCAAAGAGCTATTATACTGATTAGGGACTCCTCTCATCCATTCCTACAAGCTATTTTACATCTGGACACACCATGAGAAAACACACCAACAAAACCAACTCTGCCTCAGTTGTGCCTGTCAGCCTGCCAGCATCACCTCAGGTGCCTCAAATCATTGAATCATTGCCTTTTTCTCCCTGCCTCTCATTTCATGTAGCATTTGTTGCATTTATTCGTTCTGCCCTGTCACATGGGATTTCCCCATCTTCCCCCCCCTTTTTTTTTCTGTGTTATTGAGATGCTGAGCTTGGCAGGTTTCTTGTTCTTTACAGTAGTAATGCCAGGGAGAATTGAGTCTGTGTATGCTGTTTTGGTTTCCTAAGCTTGCATTTCACCATATTTCCAACTTCCTGGTATCGGATGGAGAAAAGCAAGTTGACATTAAGAAGAGTGCAAAAGTTGAGAAACAAAGTGTAGAGCAGTGGAGAACTTGCAGAGACCTGCCAAGAGCCAACGGTGACAGACTGATGTCATTTAGTAAATCCCTGCCAAGCTCTCAGACAAGGCTGGAGTGATGACTGTCATACAGTGGCACAGCCTGCATTGTGTGCAGTTCTGCAGCATAGGATGGTTTTAATCCATTCAAGGATTTAGCTGGAGTTGTGTGAAATACAATACAGGCTTGACTACAGTTGACGTTTCAATGTGGATGCTGTAAGAAGCAGGAAGAAGCTGCAAAGCTGGAAGCATCATGGATGTGTAAGCATGGTGGGTCAGGCCTCCTGGGCTGATCACTTACCTTGATCTTGTCATGGCACATGAGAGATATTGAACAAAGAAGTCCTGGAGAGAAGGAGCATTTCAGGAGTGTTTTCTGCCCCTTTCTCTCCCCTTTCTTCTTTGGGAGGAAAAAGACTTTGAGTAGATAAAGGAGTATCTCATGCCTGCCTGCCAGACAGCTGTCACAAAGTCAGAACAAGGGGAAGGTCTTGGTTCTGTGAAATGCTGTGTCAAGAATGATGTAAAGAGATGACTGATGTTCGGGATCTGCTAAGCCAGATGGGGACTGTGAGAATGAACCTCTGTCCTGAGTGTGCTGCTAAAATCACATCGCATTGTCTTCCAGGTTGGCTGGCAGCTGATGCAGCTCCTGCTGGGACATATCTGGTAAGGCAAGCACTGAGTTTGAAATATGTCTTTGCTTGCAAAGCATGTCTGGGTTAGTGGTCAGTGTGATTCCTCCTGGTAGCAGCGCAATGATGAAAACCAGTTGCCACAAACCAATGTCTGTGCATTAAGAGGTGGGCTAACTGTCCTTCCTATCCCTCAATGATGGGTGTAGTGGGTGGGGATGGCTTCTCCAGGTCTTTGCAGTGCATACATGTCACCAGGCAGTGCAAGGAGTGTGACACCCTCCCATTGATTCTAATGCCTGAGTGGCTGTTTGGAGTACAGAGCCAATACTGATCTCAATTTTGCAGGTGGCAATTCCCAAGCATAGCAGGGGGGAAGACATGGGTGTAGATATTTGTGTGTTTCAAGCCAGATTCAAGTATAAATTGGCTGTATGTACATCTGTACGAAACAATCACAAATAACACTGTACTACCATTGTAACTGCAGAATATGGTTCTTTTCTCTCTTTCTCCTTACTCAGTGCTCCAGCCCCGCTCTCAATGGTGAGTTTCTGACCAAGTAATTTCCCTATGATTCAAATGTGGTTCTGTATATTCCTGTCACAGTTCCTTTCTCTCTCTCTTTTTTGGGAAAACAGAAACTGCTGTGTGTGCTTCAGTGAGAAGGTATGTAAACGATCAGCAAATGATCTTTGTGACGTTTCCCTTGGAACTTCTGTTCTTTTGGGGATGTTGCTTTGGGTGGCAGGCAGCCTCTGAAACCAGAGGTAGCACCTGTCTCCCTGCAGAGGTCCAGGGATGCTTGTGGGCAGGGAGGGTTTTGCTCTGGTTTTGCTCGTTGAATAGTGAAGAGAAAATGGGACTCTGTGTCTGTGCAGGACAAAGAAGAGCAGGGTAAATCCATGGTGTGTCAGACAGCCAGCCTGTCACGTGCAGGATTTACTGCTCCAAGGATCCTTGTGTTGGTGCTGAGCCTGGCTTAGCTGGTGATGGGAGCTTAGGATGAAAACGATGCTTCAAGCCTTGCATTCATTTGATTTCCACCTAAGGGTAAACAGTTTACAAGCACCTTCTTCCTGTGCCAGCAAATAATTCTTATCACTTGAGTTGTTTGTTTGCCTTTCTGCATTTGTTACTTGGGCTGTGCGAGCATCCTTTGGAAAAAGAGGAAAGATCAGAATCGCTGTCTATCAAATTGTCAACCTCTCTTCCTGGTGTCCCACCCGCAGTCTCCCAGACAGATTTGTTTGTTACCTGAGCCCCTCTGCAGTGAGCAACCTGAGCAGGGATGATTCTTTGAGCTTGGCCCAGAAGATCAGTAAGAGCTGCACCTTGAACACAACGCTTGGAAAAATAAAGGGAAAAGGAGCTCCTTCCTCCCTGACAACAGAGGAACTGCAGGTAATCTGCCCAGCCCTGTGATTCAGTTCTTCATTCAACTAGACAGCATTTTTGATGATTGAGGGTTCAGCTCTCATGCCTCCTCCCGCATGCAGTCCTAGAACCCATCTTGCTGTTTTGTTGTGTTGTCTGGCTCATGCTTTATGATAAGCAAAGTCTAAATGGTAGAAGTCCATGGACAGGCTTAATCACACAAATTTGAGGCAGAAAATCCAGCCATTTAAGACATCCAAAGGCTGTAGAATCCAATAGGCACACATCATTACTCTTCTGACTTCCTTTTCTGAATCTGTGGGATTTTTACAGGCTGTATCTTCTTTGTTGAGGAATGTTGAGCGTTTCACTCCTGCGGTGCTGCGGGTGTTGGGCCAGATTGCTGTTGGGCTGTCTGTATCTGACATTGAAAATAAGATCAGTGGGGAAGACCTGGAAGCATCAATTCCTACCCTGGGTAAAGTTCGTGGCTGGAATGCTGACCAGTCCAGTGCTATTATCAACAAACTGCTCAACTCTGGCTATCAGGTATAAAACACGAAATGCACCAATGCACCTTAGACCTGGCATAGCTAGTTGCAAGCAAGTGCTGTTTGGCCTTTTATGTATTCATACCTGCATGTATTACCTTTCAGATTTCTTCTGGACAGAGCTTGGCAAAGCTAGGGAGCTTGGTGGCTGGCCTCAACAGCAGCACGCTTCGAAGCCTGCCTCCAGAAGTGATCTTGGAAGCCATTAAGTTGCCTGAGTTTGTTAAGCAAATAGCAGCCCTGCCCTCTCCTCTGAAGAGGATATTTGTGGAAAAGGTGAAATTGTTTTTCTCTCTATGGTTGTCATAAATTAGCAAAGCTCCAGTGACTCACAACTAAGAACACTGGTTACCTGGGGCCAGGCACTGACACATACCTGTGCACATGGACAAGATTCCCTCTGGGCTGTTTGTCATTGCTAACCAGAGCATGCAACAGGACAGGCATCCCCAATCCCCATCACTGTGCCAGTGTGGATGTCCTTGGCTGCCAGCCATCCAGCATGCTCTGATGAGCCTCTTGGGGCCTGGGGCAGAAGAGACAGTTTTCTGGGGGATGCACGTGGAAACTACTCACCACTGACATGATAAGAAGCTGCCAAGAAAATGTTATTACCATTGTTTGAAATAAGAATGTGTGAGAAGTGAGGGCTCATCTTAGAAAAAAACCCTTTTAGGGTAGATTAATCCTCTAGCAGTGCACTTTGTCATTTCTCCCGTGTGACTGTAGGATGTGAACATCTTTCCTCACTTTTCCTGGCCATGATTTTAACCTTCAAGTTGTATGTGCACCATTTGAGTTTGTTATTATTCATCTTACCTTCTACAAGAAAACTGCTGACGTGTTCAGCACCACAGGCCCTGCACATAGCAGATGTTGGGGCAGTGGGATGGTCAGGGCTCTGGGTGATGTGTGAGGGAAATAACACCTCCTTCACCACAGGATTGCTGTGCAGCTTACCTTCAAGAGATGAGGTACTGCTTGGGTTGGCTGGGAGGAGTGTTTCTCCTTTCTGGCTTGTTAAGAATTTTTAGAGCATCAAGCCAAGAGCTGGGAAAATGGTAGAAACAGAACCATTCCTCTTCATCAGGGCCTTTGTTATTAGTTTCATGCTAGTCTGATGTATATGTCAAATGGGAAAGAATTTGTAATGTTAGATTTTTTACAAGTATGTCTTTAGTTTTGTTGTTTTTTTTCAGATTTCTTCCAGTGTAAGCAACCCAGCTGACCTGGTTAAGCTTATCCCTGGTGCTCTGGCCAGTTACATTCCAAAATCATTGCTTATTTTTGAGGATGAGAAGCTCAGCATTGAGGATCTCAACAGTAAAATGTGGACCCGAGAGCAGGTAATATTCAAGCAGCTTGTATTGCCCTCACTGTCACTCTTGGACACTGCAGAGCTATGAGTCCACTCTTACAGTCTACCTGAAAATACAAGTGAGTGATGTGGAAGAGCATGGTTAACTACTGACAATCTGGCTTTGCTCCACAGGCTGCCATGTTTTTCAGAGATGTGATAAAGACAGAGCCTGACTTCAGCAGGTAGTGTTTTTCTGCTCTCCTTATGTTTTTCATGTTTGCTTGGCTCATGTTATCCCTGTTTCTTTTGTCATGCATGACTGATCTTTTTTAATCTATAACAAGAGACAGGAAAATACCATGCAGACAACAAGCATGTAGTGCCAGATGTACCATGGTGTCAGCTGCAAGATACACCTGTGAGCCAGACTTGCTTTCTAAAACAATGCTGCTGGCTCAGACTGCAGTTGGGAACCTTGCTTCTTCACAAAGCATTTCTAATCAGACAACGTGTCAGTCTTATGTAGTGCTCTTCCAAGAATTTCATTTAGTGAGACTGACGTGTCTTTTGTCAGTTCTTGTATCTGAGATGAGAAATGATGAAAGCCTTGACACGTACCTGGAAGAACAATAGATCTGCCATATCATCCTGCTTTCACAATGTCAGTTTTTCCATACTTCTTCCTGAGCTCTCCCAGGTCATGAGACTGCTGTGATGAGGATCTGTATGAGACTGCTTCAGTTTTGATATCTGTCATATACAGAAAGCACATCTGATCTTGTGCTTCAGTACAGCAGTATTGCTTGGGGTGGAGAATTTGTCCCTGCAGTTCTACTTCCAGCACAATCTCTAGATAATATTTGTGGAAGCAGCAATGGCTTCTTGATCTCCCACAAAAGTCAAGACTAGCGATGTTGTGTGGATGAAGTTTGGAGAGTGTTCAGCTTTGAGGTGTGGGAAGGTTTATGCTTATACACAGGGGGTCATCACTGACTTTTCTCCTCAAATCCTTGCCCCTCTGATTTGCTTTTTGTAAACATTCAGGCTTTCCCAGTCAGTCCTTCAAGGCTACACATGTGCAGTTGCCAATGAAATGGAACCAGAGAGAGTTCAGGAGCTGGCCAAAGTCATGAAGAGGAAGAATGTCAAACTAGGAGCAGACCAGGTCAGTTCCTGTATTCCCAAATGCTGTTTGGTATTGCAGTGGAGATGCTAATCAGGATTGTTTAGCAAGAACAAAAGATTTTCAGCCTAGAGGACTGGAACAAATGTAACTGGTCCTGGGTGTCAGGTGCACAGTTTTGAATTTTTCCAAAAGCATCTCAGGGCTGATTTATCCCTTTTTCTTTCTTTCTTTGGAGCAGAGTAAAATCTTCATTGTTTATTTATTTATTTATTTATTTCCTATTGTTTTATGCTGTTTTCCTTTTCTGCTACAAACTCTGGTGTGCTTTCAGCTGAGTTGCTTAGTGAAGATGGTGATGCTGCGTGGGATTCCTAAGGACTTGGATAGCTATCCTAATGACCTGTTGCTATTTTTAAGGTAAATGTGCTATCATTTTTCATGTTGTTGCTTTAGTCCTGAATGAGAAGAAGAGGCATGACTTTACAAGCCAGCTAGTAAGGGCTAATTCATGTTTGACATATATTTCTGATTTGTTCAGATATTCTTACAGAAAAAAAGATTGCAGAAAGCTTTTGAAAGGGCTTTGATGCCTTTCAGATGTAACTATCCATTGTATTAGTAAAACAGTATGAAGCTCTTTTTAGTTATTTCTGTCTTGATGTGAAACTACTATGGGCTTTCAGTACTTTCTAGCCTTTTTGAGGGTGATTTTCTCTTGCAGTGTCAGGTGAAACAGACATTAGAGTAGATTTCTTTATTTTGGTAGCTTATCCACTGTGGTTCTGTATCCAAATCCTGAATCATTTTAAGCTGAGTCTTACAAAGGAGTCCTTAAAGTGAAACTAAGTTTTTTGCAAATGTGGACTGTGGTTTTTAGGAAGAACAACTGCATAGAATTTAGACTGTGGGTATGGAAAACATTATATTAAACAGAGTATGCGTTGAACAGCCTTGAGAACCTGGCCGTCTGTTTCATTCAGCAGAACTCACAGTATTTGTCTTCCTAGGCCTTCAGACTATGCAGCAACAGGAAGCTGTAAGCAGTACTTTGCTAATGTTGGGAAAGCAAGTCTTGATCTTCTGCAAAGAGAGTCGTCAGAGCGCAGACAGCTGCTGCTGGAAGCTTTAGCGTGCTTGGTATGTGTGCAGGGACACAAGGCTGGGGGATGTCAGCAGTCAGAAGGAGCAAAAATGCTCTTATACAGCGGTATCCAGTTCTACTTAATCTCTCTGTGTCTTGTGTTACTTCAGAAAATTCCAGGCACACAAGTAAACAAGGAAAATGCAAAGATTCTGGGTCATCTGGTCTGTGACCTGGGTGGAGAATACATTAGAAGTTCTGCTGGGGCTTTGTTGAAGGAATTAAGCCAGTGTGAATCTTTCCTGCCTGATCAAGAAGAGGCTATTAGGAGTGTGATCAGCAGTGGCAACACTACATTTGGGTATGGATTTTTTGCTGATGCTCAGAAGAAAAAAAAATTCTTGTCCTGTTGAGACCTAATTGAACTGCAGCTGATCAACTTGATCATACACTTGAATAATTCATTGCTTTTGAATTTCACATTGTTTGATTTGAATGTCTTTCAAACGCATGAATTTGGCTGGAATTCTACTGAAAAATACATAGTCATTTCTGTCTCACCTGCTGTAGTTACAGAAGCCTTTACTCTGGTCTGCTTTTCACTATCCAAACTTCTCTGAGGTGGTGCTCATGAACACAAAAGGGCTCTAGATGTTCATCAGATTCTGGCTTCCAGAAAACGTTCTGCTTCTACCTCTCAAACTGCCAGATGCTTGATGAATCCCTGGCTATTACCTAAGAGACATTGTCCAGAAAGGCAAAATATTTTTCCTTCCTGTGTCAAATGCTCTAAGGTCTTGGCACTGAACTGGCAATTGGTTTCCACACTTAAAAAAAAAAAAAAGTGTTTGTTAAATACCATTTTCCCATACAGCTGCCCCAATTCATGTTACTAACCGTTGCTTCTGATCCATTGGAATAAAGTTTTCTGTTATAGAAAGTGATTGAGAAGTTTTCTTAACTTACTGTGTTACATGGACATAATAGACATAATGCTGGCGTCTTTTATGTTGTTTTCCTTTCTGTTTGAAAACTGATCCCTGTCAATTTCTGTCTGCAGGCCTCCTCAAGCATGGTCAGCGTCTACCTTGAATGAGCTCACAGGGTTGATTCCTGTGTTGGATCACAGCATCTGGCAGAAGGTCCCCAAGGTGGGTTACTTGAGTTTAGGCATTTAGAAATCTGCCTTTGGCTGACTCCAGGCTTATAGCAGAAGTCTTCTGCACATATATTTCAGCAACAAATTTTCTATGTGAGTAGCAACCTAATGCACTGATGATATGCTTAATGCTGCAGAATCTCCCTGATGGAATATTTTCTTTGCAGAACGTTCTAACTTTTTGGCTGAAGAACTTTGCACGTGATTCACGTCTGTCAAGAGCACAGCTGGCCACCATTGTTGAAGAACTCTTGCCTTCTAGACAGAAGCGTGATGTTGGTATGGGAGCTTTCTCTGATCCATAATGGCAACATTCCTCTTGCATCAGGATTGATCTTAGTGCTTGTGGGCCTCCTTGAATATGTCTAAATTAAGCTGTGAAACACGTGGTGGTGGATTGCCCAGGAGGAGGGTGGAACAAGACTGCATACTTGTCTGTCTTCAGAGATGGAGCACTCAAAGCTTGAAGGAAAAGGATTTAATGCTGGGCAGCAGTGTTAGTGTATTTAATACTTCCTTCAACAGGTTGCCCAGGTGAGCTGAGGATAACAGAGACGGTTCTTAATAATGATCTGATGCCTATTTACTATACACCTGAGGAGCTGCGTGCTTGCCTGAAGAACGTCTCTGTAACGAATGACTTCCTTCAGATCCTGGACTACCCCTTCAGTAATGAGCAATTGGCTGTGCTGAAGGAGAAGCTGGATGAGGTAACGTCAGGCTGACAAATGCCAAATTATCTACTGATGAGATTGCTCAGGGACTTGTTCAGTTGAGTTTCAGCGTCTCCAAAGACTGAAACTCCACCATCTCTCTGTGTTCCTCTTCCAATGTTTGACCACTTTTACTGTGAAAATATATTTTAATACCTAATCAGCATTTTCACTGCATCTTGGCCCTTATCCTTTTGCTGTGCATCTCTGAGAAGAGTGTGGTTCCATCTTCCCTTTAGTCTCCCAGAAGTGATAAAATCCTTTTCTAGCCTTCTCCATTTCAGATTGAAAAACCCAATTCCCTCAGCCCCACTACCCCACTTCCTATGTTGTGCCTCCAGCCCTTCAGCCAGCATGGACTGCTGCTAGACTTTTACAAAGTATTTTATCAGGGAACTCAGTGCTGTTTGTAGTACTTAAATGAGGTCTCACAGGAGCCATATGGAGGGGAATAATCACTTGCCTTGACCTGCAGACTGTGCTGCTGCTTGGGTAACCCACTGTTTGCTTAGCCTTCACCACTGCAAGGCATTCTGCTGCTCCAGGTCCTCACTGAATCAATTCACATTGCTGCAGGTTTTCTTCCCTCACTGGAGCCTGCTTCCCTCAGCTTTCATGCAGAAAAATGACAGATGCACGCATTATATCTCACTGGCTCTTGTTTTCATTCCTTGCAGAGACCTTTATGGCTTTTCCACATTAATCTTGCAGAGAACACAGGCACGACAACAAGTGTTCATAGCAATTCCAACTGTCTTTCCACAGACATATCCTGATGGATATCCTGACAGTCTGCTCCCAAAACTGGGCCGCCTTACTTCTTTAATCACCACGAAGGATATTAGCAAATGGAAGATAACTTCAGCTGACATGCTGGCTGCCTTGCTAGAGCTTGACCTGCAAAATGAACAGGTGGGGATTTGGGTTTGCTTTCCTGCCCAGATTTGCTTCCTGGTTTGGGAGCTGCTGGTTTAGGACCAGCTTAGTGGCTTCTTAAGATCATTGGCCCATTCTTGAGGTTCAAACAGGTAGATTTAAAATGATTTGGTTTTAGTTTTGTAATTATCACATTTGTTTTTCTTTTAAAGATGAAACCATGAATGAAGCTAACTTTTGAAAAACTTGTGTTCCTAGGCTGTTGCTGTGATCAGTCGATACGTTGCCTTGGGAAATCCCTTGAATGCCACTGCACTGAATGCAATTAATCCAAAATACTTGTGCACTCTGAATGCGACCTTGCTGAATATGATAGACCCCAACAGCCTGAAGTGAGTCAGCATTGCAGTGCTCTCAGTTTCTTGTAGAAGCACAGTCCCATCAGCAAGGGCAGTTTACTTTCTCTCCATGCAGTAAAAGGAATTCTAGGGAGCAACTTAGTGCATGTTCTCTGCCCAGGCTTAAAAGCCTGTTGTTCTCCACTCTGCCAGGAAGGGCTCAGATCTGCAATCAGATTCTTTTTACTGCACCTCAGGTGACAACCAGTATGGCCTGCATGCATGCTTTTGTCTGCAGGCAAAACAGTTGATTCTGAAGGACTGCTAAATAAAATTAATTACATAACTACATCTTTGCAAACACAAACATAGCATTGCACCATCACAGCCATCATAACTGAGAAAACACATCATTTTGAGCAGGCAGCTGAGACATTATTTTCTTCATTGAGCTTCTCTCCATACTGTCATCTGTCTAATGGGAAGAACTTGGGATTTATTCAAGTTGAAAATAATAAAAACTTTTATTTTTCTATATCATCATCATTATCTTTTTTTTTTTTTTTTTTTTTTTTGCAGACTGGCATCCCTGGATCCTTCAGCCTGTTCACAGCTTACAAAAGACATCCTGTATGCTAAAGCAAAACGTGCTTTCTCAGACCAGCACTATTTACGTTCCTACTATACGCTTATTGAGCCTTACCTAGGTATGTAAAATAACAGTCTGCTATAGGGAAAGAGGAACAAATACTGTCTTAAGATCTGGGAATCTTCAAAGCTAAGCTGTTAGAAGTTCTGGAAGGTCAGCATCTTTTTCCAATTTGTAGATAACATAAAATATTCTCGGAAGAATCTGTACCTGGCTTAAAATTCCCTTAACTGACCATCCAACTATCACAGGAATATTCAGACTCGAGGTTTCTGGGATGGATAAGATCTGCTAAGTACCTTGGAAATCCAGCTGCCAATGCTTAGTGCTTATCTCACAGCCATTCCCCATGTCACAAAACATGGATTCTCCCTGTTAACCCAAAAATTTATTCACAGCCTCAGTGAACCTCTTCTTCCACATTCCATCTGGCCATTGATGCAGATTGGTTTGATGGCCAACATCATGAAACCCTGTAGCTAAAGGAACTACTTTTTGTTTTGCATTTGGAACTCACTCTGTTAGCAGAGCTAATAAATTTAGAAGACATGGTTTATGCTCCAACCTGTACAGATACACAACATTGCTCATTTGTGTGAGGGCATCGAGTAAAACTTTCTCTTTTTGGTCACAGGAGGTGCTCCTGGTGAGGATCTCAGAGCTCTGAGCAAGAACAATGTGAACATGAATGTTGATACGCTGGTGAATTTGAGAAGAGACGCTTTGATGGTAAGCTGAATGCTGACATTGTTCACCTCCTTGTGTTTCTGCCATACGAGGTGGTTGTTTCTGGTCATGTTGTCCATTGTTGTAAATCAAGAATTGCTCCTTCAAATTCACAGTGATGGTTGACTAATGAATAGTGGAAAACCAACCTGAAACTTCCCTAGAAGTTTAATTTGGAGTCATCCATGGATGCTTACCCAGTCTTACTGGGGAATTTCTTTAGAATAAGCTCTCATAGTAGTAGGAGGTTTCCACTAGGCTACAGTGCAAACCTAACAGGAGTGTTAGCATGAATATTACTGCTTTTGGAAGAAAGCTTAGTGACCTGAGCATGGATTGGAGACCCGCATGGGTCAAGGAGACGTGTCATGATAAGACAACAGAAATTGGTTTTGAGGAATCCTTGTGTTTGTTCCCCAAACCTAAGGTGAGATTTGTTCCAACTGAAACCGCTCACCACAAGTTTGTTGTTCTGAACGCTTCTGCTAACAGAAACCTCATCAGATCCTTGACTAGAGGTGTATGGTCATTGCTGCATTTACATCTGTAAGTCGTGTTTGATTTCTCCTAGAGCCTGACACCTGCTGAGGTTAAGGACTTGCTGGGGATAAATCTACATGATCTGTCAAATTGGCGGAACAAGTCTCCCATCCAGGAATGGGCCCAAAGACAGAAGCAAACAGAACTGGATAAACTGGGCGTTGGGCTCACGGGGGGAACACAAGAAGGCTATATAAACATCGTCACGCCGAAGTTTCAGCGTATGTAGTGTGCTAGGGCCTCTGATTGTTGTGCTTTAAACATTTACTTTTTGGGTTACAGTAAGGAGAATAATTGCCTTGTGGAAGTGAGGTACTTTTGGTTGCTTGTGAAGAGAACCGAGCACACCAAGCTCTCAGCCATGCTTGTGCCAAGGCCTTAGAAAGTCCTGCTACCTGCTCATGTGTCTGAGAGAGGAGAGACTGTTGGTCTGGGCTATTGCAGATCTCTTTCACTGGCATTTGCCACTGCCTATCCACACAGCCCCCTTAAAATGCATTGGGTAGTGCTCACCTGCACCCTTCACCTCCCAGCATAGAGAGGCAGCAAATCCAGTGCTGCTACAAGGCTTAAGGAACCTTAATTTCTAAGTCCAAGATGTGGAACAGTCCTGTAATCTCACTGAAAGCACCCATGTTAGCTGAGCATCTCAGCTGAATGAGCACTTCCACAGCACCCTGCTGTACTGTGTGTTGGATTTGGGCTTTGACTTGACGATTTAACTGGGGATGGCTGGGATGGCTGGGTACTGGATAGAGAGCCCTAGTCAAAATGCTAGAGATCTTTCCTGGATGTGGCAGAACAGGATCTTTTCCCCATGGAAGAATGGTTCAATTGTTGGTTTCTTTGTACTGATGCCCTCTTTTTCTTCTAGCACCATCCTCAGCCTCTTTTGGTACCGAGGCCATGATGCTCCACCTCCTGCCTGCTCTGCTTCTCAGTTTCCTGATGATGTCGATCTTGTCTTGAAAATCTTCCCTTGGATAGAGCACGATGAGGTGGACCAGTGTGTGACCTGCTCAGAGCCTGCTGGGGAGTGCTGGGCCAGGGGGTGAGGGGTGCTCAGTGCATGCAGGCAGCTGCTGTGTGGTTCTGTGCTCATTGCTAGGTACTTTTCTTTTTCAAATCAATAGAAAAAAATTAGTGTTCTGTTGGAACTGAAACTTTCAGACAATTCAGAGCAGGATCCCTTTTTGCCTTTTGTACAAACCAAGCCAAGGTGATACACATCCCTTTTACTGCAACGCAACAGCCTTCAATATTTTACTGTGCAACCGTGGTGGGTTTAGGGGTGAGCAAATCTGCTGTTCTGCATGTTACTGATTGCATTTCTCAGAACCTGATGTCTTGGCACTGCCAGGCCCTCTGAGTGGGTGTAAAACTTTCCAGCTGGTTCTAAAGAAATTGTGGAGCTAAGTAAAAATGCCAGAAGCAAAATAGTAACTGCTGTTGTCTTCATTCACATTGCCTGCACTGCAGTGGCTGTGGGTACTAGATCAAATGAAATGGCTAGGAACCTCAGACGTGCCTGCTAGTTTTCTTTGGTGTTGACTACTCCAACCTAAGGGCTGAGGCTGTTCTCAGCTTCCTCGTGAGAACAGTATAAGAGCTTTGTATAGGACTTTCAACATATTTTTTTTGCTGCTTTGGGATTTCTGTCCAAGAAGAGTCTTAATGTGAGAAGATAGAAGGAAGGGAGAGCAAAGGAAGGGGAATCTATCAAGATTTGTTAGTCAGGAAAACTCCAAAGCACTAAATGTATCCAAGAACATGCTTGATTAGGAAAAAAATAGTTGATTGTTTTATTATATATAATTGCAACAGTAATCAAGATAAACTACCTTCAATTTGTCTTCCTAACTAGGCTTAGTGTAGTTTGAACAAATGTTGATGACAATTCTCTTAAGTTCATGAAGCAAATTAAATGCAATTTAGTGGATTTCTGGCTGAGTTTTCAGGCTGCGTTTCTGGGCCATGTTCCACCTCTCTTGCAGGGGCCAGCAGTTTGAGTCCCTGAGTTTTCCCACAGTTTTTTAACTGTGGGACTGCTTAGAAGCAAAATAGCACCCAGTGTGAATAAAGCTGGCAGAATTGTGCTCACTGTCAGCATTAAAGTAGTACTGGATCAGCCAATATTAACTGATAATTGTATAGAGCAGCTAGCTAGTGAAGTACCTGCTGGGCTGCTTTGGGATGGAAAATCATCTGTCCTCATTTCACTTTCCAGATTCAAAACAAAGTGAGCTTTCCTTGCTGGAATCAAAAGGACAAACTCTTCTCCTTCCCCGGGTTTCTACCTCTCAGGTAGAAATTTGCCAGCATCGTTTTGCAGGATGATGAATGTGGGAGGAGGGATTTGGGAGCGCAGTGCTGGAGGTGCCGTGTCAGAGAAGCCCTTGCAGCAGTGATATTCCTATGGCTGTGGTCAATATGTGGAGTAAGCATGAGGACAGCCTGGATCCTGAGCCTAGAGAACAGAGATGAGAAAGGATTGAGTTATCCAGACAAACTATGAGTGTAGCTATGTTGGGATACAGGACTACAGATTTAGGGCTTTCACTATTCAAAAGCAGTATGTGCAGTTAAAATATGGAGCTCTTAAGTCCTTGCTTTGTGAAAAACAGTGCAGTGCACTGACACTGATGGGTTTACTCCGGCTTTTTTGCAGAGTGGATGAGAGCTGTTGTGCACTCTAAGTGTGATGAGGCACCGTAAGCTATACCTTGCAATGCTTGCAGGATCTGAAGGCAGCATGCTGCAGAACAGCTGCTGTCAGGCCCTGTGCAGATACAATGCTAACTGACATGCTGTAACTACGTGGGGTTTCTCGTGGATAGCAGCATGCCACTATTGAATGTAGCCAGGAAAAAGGCAGATCAGCTGCTGCTTGTTGGTGAAGACTTTTGCCCCCATGTTGGCCCCTCAGCCTTTCCCAGTTCCCAACACACAAACCTTACCAGGTTCAGGTTGCAGATTGATGTATCCAGCAGGTGGGGGTTTTGGTGTCTCTGGCACATCTACTGGTGCTTTCTTGGTGATCTCTCTGCTGGAGGTGATGGAAGAGGTGCTGAGAGGTGCTGGAGAAACACCAGTCTTGCAAGTGATTTCTGTAGTCTTGCTCGTTGAGGAGCTGATACTTTGGGTGGAGGCAGTGATGTTGGGAAGTGGGGTGGTGGGCTTGTGGGAGAGGGGATTCATTTCTGTGGCTGTGATGGCAGCAGGCACAGAGGTGGGCTTTGGGACAAGGGCACAGGGGGAGCTTGGGGTGGTGGTGTTACAGGGGGCAGGAGCTGAGCCGGTGGTACCTCCCAGTGCTGGGGACACCAGTGGGGTCCCAGTGCTGCGGATGGTGCCTGTGGGATTGGGAACATCAGTGCTGGTGGTGGCACCGTGTGTGACAGCTGGGGGTGGGACAGAGCTGGAAGAGGTGGCCCTGGGGCTGACAGCAGTGAGGATGGTGGTGAGGAGGGTGGCAGCAGGGGACTTGGAGGTGGTGGGCTGGTGGATGAAGCATGGGGTGATGGAGCTAGGGGCTGGGGTGGAGGTGATGGAGGTGACAGCAGTGCTGGGCTGGGCAGTTGGCAACGGGAAGGTTGGGCTTGCAGCGTTTGGGGTGGGGGCCTCGGGGCTGGTGTTTGGATTAGTGGGGTGGCTGCTGGTGGCTATAGGGGTGAGGGCAGCGGTGAGGTGGGGAGGGGTGGTTGTGGGGGGAGGTTCCTGTATCCCCCCTTGCAGGCCAATTCCCAGGATTTGGTCCAGTTCCTGTTGGGACTGTTTCTTGACCCAGCACATCACGACAGTCTGATTCTCAGCTCCCTTCAGTTGTTGGATGTTTGCCCCCAGCAAATTTTTGACATCCAGAACGCTGAGTTTCTGCAATGCACGTATGACAGCTTTGGTCAGGCTCATAGCTGGCGCTGCCTGAAAATGCTTTTCTAAAAGGAATGCAGAGCTAGTAATAACTTATGAAAGAAAATTTTAAAAGGTTAGAAGTAGAGATTTGGTGAACTGATGGCACTGAATCCTTGAACCCATGGCTCAGCCCTCAACTTAGAATGGCATGGGTTGCAAGGGACCACAAAGATCACCTAGTTCCAACCCCCTGCCATGGGAATAACACCAGCACAGCAGGAACATACCTGCAGTTCATTGGGATTTAGGGCAAGAAAGGTGTCAATGTCCATGTCAACACCATTTTCAGCCAAGTCCTTCAGGTCTTCTGCTGGAGCTCCACCTTGAAGAAAGCACCCAGGGCACCTGAACTCATGCAAACACTTGCAACACTGAGAGGAGGGTTCTTGAATGGTTCTTGAATCTGGCTAGCCTTCCAGCCAAGGAAGACATCTCTACAGAAAATGAAGGTTGAAGCACCTACCCAGGTATGGCCGCATCTGGAGGTAATACACCTTGGTGCCAGCCTGGCTGGCAAAGGCCTGCTGGGCTTTGCTGTAGAATTGGTCCTTTTTGTTTTGAGAGCAGGAGGAAATGTCCAGTTCTCCAGCGCTCCTGAGGAAAGGGAGGTTTGGAGGTCAGAGCAGGGGGTGCCACCCAAAGCCTTTCCAATGGCCAAGGGGATGTGTGATTTATCCCCCACCCGTGTCACTGGTGGCTCAGAGAGGGACACGACTATTGCAGAGCCAGGTGGACCTGCTCTCTTCCTGTAACCCTGGGCATCTTGCAGGATGGATGAGCATCCCTATAGAGTGCTTTACCCAATTGCTTCTGAAGGTATTTTCTCAATCTGCTCCTCGTTCAGGTCACAAAGGAAAATCCCACCAATTTGCTGAAGCAAGGGCCCTGTTAGGTTGCCCCCCAACTCCAGGAACCTTGCGATCAGCTGCTGCTTCTGGAAAACACAGTTCATGCATTGTGTGCTTAGAGAGGAGGAAAATGCATTTGGCAGAAACGCACTACAAAACCCCTGTGCCTTGGGCTGCAGGAGATGGGTGGGTGAGCTCCCACAGGAGCTGGGCATGGACACGAGCGCAGAGCAGCCCTAGCTTGGACTCTCCTGCATTTGTCCCTGTGCCCCTCGGGTACCTGGGCGCTGCTCCATTTGCCATCTGAAGGGTTGAGCAGGGCACAGAGTGTGTCCGCTGAGGTCACCTGCCACTGGCTGAGCTCCTGCACTGTGTAGAGGCGGGACAGTGGCCCCAGCCTCCGGAGCTGGGCATCCGGCATCCCCGTGGGGTACACCTGCATCAGCAAAGAGGGGTGGGGAAGGCAGGGATGCTCATAGTGTCTATATTAAAATAAAAATTGGCTTCCACATCCCCAGTAGTTGCACTGCTGCTCGTGCCCTGGTTCACCCCTTACCTCCTGTAGCCTTTTTTTCAGCACCCAGAGATACTCAGTGGTGAGTGGCTGCTCCAGCACATGCTGTAGGTCTGTTTGCAGAACGCTGTCGCTCAGGCAGAGGTAGAACTGCTGGGGGCTGTCATAGTCGAGGAGCAGGATGCTCTCAGAAAGCACACGGGCGGTGATGGGCTCCTGCATGCAGCCTGCAGGCGGGGAGGGTGCATTTGGGGCTGGCATCTCTTGGTCTGCGCTCCGCTTCGGCCGGGGCTGTGACACTGCTGCCATGGCTGTCAGCAGGGTCAGGGACTGCTCCCGCTGCTCCCATCCCTGGGTGCTGTAGGTGGCTGTGATGCTTCTGGCAAATGCCTCCCGTGCCGCCTGCCAGGGAGGGCAGAGGAATCTGGGGTCCTCAGGATGCTGGGTCCCATGTCTGTGGGCTGGCCCGACATATGGGCCATTTAGGGTTGGCTCACCTTATCCACCAAGCTCAGCGTGGTCTGGTTCAAAGCCAGTGCAAGTGGCCCCAAACGTTGCAGAGTCTCCAAATCCCAGCCTGAAGGATGTCTGCAAAAAGCACAGCTCAGCATTCTGAAGGGAACACCTCCCCTCCTGCCCACCGCTGGGCTCCTTACCCATACACTGTACTGCCCCTGAGGAGCACAGCATTGACAGCATCCCGCTGGGCACCTGTCAGCATGGAGCAGAGTTTCAGGTGCTCCAGGATGCTGGGGTGCAAAGCAGCAATGGTGCCTGGCTCCATGGTGCACACCAGCACCCCGAGGCTGTGACAAAGGAGATGGATGACAAAGAGATGGGTGACAAAGGAAGCATGGCAGAACACAGGCACGAATGTGCCCTAGAGCAGCGGCAATGCCCTGGGCTTAGACTAAGACAGAAGCCAGTGGAGCTTAGATCTGGAGTCCAGAATCTCCCATTGTATCTGTGCCAGCCCCATAAAAAGAGAATTTTTGTTTTGTTTGTGCTACAACAAAAGAAGATAAGGCTGAAACCCAACCTGGCACCAGAACTGGCTGCACCAGGTTCTAAATTTTCCTCAGCCCAGTGCCAGTCACAGAAGTCATGATGCATGTGGGAAGAAACACAACCCCCAAAGCAAACAACACCTCTGCACCCTGTGCTGGGGTTGACACTCACTCAGCATATGGCTCCGTGGCAGTGAAGACGGCACCGAGAAGGAAAGTGGCCTGGGGGG